GGAGCATTTTCTATGTGCCAGGCACGGAATCACTATTCACAAAGAGACAGGCACAAATCACAACCTCAGAGTGCCACATGCAGGGCCCCTTGGGTCCCTTTCTCTTTGTGGCCCATCTGTCTCTGGGGTCAGCCTCAAAGAGGCTGTGAAGTGGGCTCAGCTCTGTATTCACCAAGTTCCCTCAGAAGGAGGGTAGGAATACAGTTGAGGAGGCACATGGCTGTGGGGAGGGGCTGGAGTTTCTCTTGGGAGCCTCAGCATCCTCTGGATCTGTAGTTAACTAGGTGGTAGAAGGTCTGGGCCCAAGTGGGAGCCCCTCAGAGGAGCAATGGCAACTGCCTTGGCCTGGTCCTGTCCCTCCTTCTAAGTGGAGCCTCGTAGGACTCAGGCTCTGGGCTTTAGGGGGTTGTTGAAAGGCTGGAGGCTCTGGGGGAGGAGAAGAGGTCCAGGTCAGAGATACACTGAATCCAAGGCCATTGGAACCCCTCCACTCTCACAGATACCCAGGAGTCCAGACCCCTGCCCACAGGCTCCTGCCCATGCTGACCCCACAGAGGCCCTGTGCAGGGCTGGCCCCTCAGTCCTCGCTGGTTCACCCAGCACGGGGCCTTCAGCTGAGATGAGATCTGGCAGCTGAGCTCAGCGCCAGGGAGGGTGGATGGAATGCTCAGGCCCAGCCCAGCCTCCTGTGGCCCGTGGCTCCCAGCCCAGAGGCCCTGGGTCAGGGATGTAGGGCAGGGCGGTAGGAGGAGACAGCCTGGAACATCTAGGAGGTGTGCCTGTGGCAAGGCGGGTGGTGGGGGTTCTGAGTCTCCAGCTCTGTGGGTGGCCCCGGGAAACTCTCCCCACTGACCCCCAGCGCCACTTCAAATCTCAGTGTAGGATGATGTGGGACCCAATAATCCCCAGATTCCTCCAGGGACCCCCAAATTGTCTGCCTGAGCTCCAGCACTGACATGGAGGAAGGACGCGGCTGAGTGAGGATGAGGGGTGAGGCCCTGGGGCCCTGGGGCTGGGTGAGTCCAGGCCGCTGGGAGCTGGCCCCTGGGTCTTCCCCTAGATTTGTGGCTCAGTTTAGCCCTGGGGCTGCTCCTGGGGGTCCCAGACTGCTCCCCTCTCTCTGCAGTGCTCTGCCAACAGCCTCCCTTGTTGCGGCTCCCCACCTCTTGAAGGATGAAGTCTAACCCTGAAGCTCACCTTCAAGGTCCAGCACAGTGTGTCCGCTCCAGCTCTCCTTTCCTCTACCTCTCCGGCCATGAGAACTACAAGTTTCTGAGTCGCACAAAGCTCTTCCTCTGACCAGGAAGCTTTTATCATAGGCCGTTTCCTGGAGCGCCCTTCCTCGCTGTGTTCTCTGGGTAAACGCTTTACTTCATTCGTTTCAGGCCCCAGGCCACCTCCTCTATGCTGTCTTCCAATTGTCATCTGATCCCAGCACAGTCTCTGCTCTCTGGCTTGAGCATCTCTGCCCAGACAGGTTCAAGTCTCTACTTCATCCCAGCATCTTGGGGCATGAACTCAGGGCCCCAGACATAAAGGTGTCAATGTCCCCACTGCTACCTGTCAGCCCAGCTTGGTCTCTAGTTCTGGGCTTGCCATGGACTCCCTTCCCACTCACAGGAGGTAAAAACCAATCCAGGGCTGGGGATTTAGCTGTGTTTCCACCGCCTACCTCGCAAGTGCAAGGACCCGAGTTTGATCCCTGGTACCAAAACAAAACAAAATAAAACAAAAAAACCCTCAATCCATACAATTGTAGACAACACCTATGGTGGTCTGAGAAGGTGCAACCATTGGTGTAACTCCAAGAAGCTCCTATTTGTCTCCAAATGACTCCTCTAACAACCATCGCATTGCCAGATACACCACCATTAGGATTTTGAGGGGGCAGAGATTATCCTTCTTAGGTGTCCCGGAGGAATGTGCACATACTTCTGATCAGGGGCCCTTCTATGGCATAGCTTGCAAAACAGAACTCAGAGAGTGCCCCTCACCTCTTCCCTCTCTCAGGGCAGACACCATTAATCGGTCACAGTGTTCATTCCCACTGACTTGAACCCAGTCCCTGAATCCTCTATAATCTTTGAGGTAAGACCGATGGACCAGACCTACTTTGCCATCTGAAGCAAATTGGTCTCTGGGCACCAGGCCATCTAGTCTACTTTCCTCTCTCTTAAGGGATAACTCCAAGCTTTGGGCAGGGAATATCCATCTAGCCCTTTCCTACCTTCCTGGGCTGCATGGCTTTGGCTGGGACTTAGCAAGGGGAGAGGAGGCAACATAATGAGCCAAAGGCACCTGCCTGTTTGAACTTGCCCAGCCGCTCGTGAGCTGTGTGGCCTGGGGCCCATTCCTTGCTCTCTCTGGGCCTCAGTGACTTCATCTGTGATGGAAGCAATAGCTGCTTCCCTGGAGGGCAGGATTAAATGGGATCATGGGTGCTAAGCCCAACACACAGTAGGTGCTCGCTAAGTGTGTAGGTGCTTGCCCCCCATCTACCTACCCATCCCTCCTGGAAGCTGTGGCTTCCACTGGCAACTCACACTGACCTCATTTCCTGGCTTTGCCCCAGGCCCACCTCCTGCTCCCCTCTGCTCCGCTCCAGAAGGAAATCTCACTCACTGCATCCTCTTGCCAGTCTGTACCTGCCATGGTCTGACATCCAGGACATCCCCAAATGAGTTTAGAGGTGGGTAGACGGAGGCTAAGATTGCAGAAGGGCTGCGCAAGGCCTCCTCTTCCCCTAGGAAGCCCTCTGTGATTTCTTCACCCAACACCAGCCTGGACCTTGGTCAGGATGGGCTTTTCAGCTTCTCCTAAGCCAGAAGCAAGCTCCTGACTGCAGGACTTGTCTTCTAGAACATTCAGAAAAGCTCTTGGCTGATCCTTGTGCCTGTTTTTGTGGCCTAAGCTGACCAGTGTCCCCTCCACTGAGTTTCTCTGTGGAATGTGGCCTAGGCTGTGGGGTCAGAAGGGGCTGATGTCACCCCTGGCCTGCTTCTATCTTATACTAGCTGTGTGACCTTGGACTGGCTGCTTTGCCTCTCTGGGCTTCAGTGGTCCCATCTGTCACATGAAAACCCTTGGAGTAGCTTCAGGTCACCCAAGGGGGATTCAGGGAGGTGACAGAGGTAACAAGCATGGGTGCCTGTGAGCCAGTGGCCTGAGTTTTTCCTGAGACGGTGGCCACAGTGTCCGTTTCATGTCCCTGAGGCAGCAGCGGAGCTGTGAGTCACACAAGTCCGGGAGAAAATAAGCAGGGTCCCTTCTGGCTTCCTGCCCCCATGTCCGGTCCTTGTTTTGCTGCACAATGGCCCCAGCTGAGACTGCAGGGTGGGCAGCTTAACCTCTTCATGGCCACAGGCTCCTCCTTGAGCTATCAGCACAAGAAGCTGTAATTACCAGGGCTGCCTGGGGGCTCAGCTGTTCCTGTGTCCCTCCAAGGTCACTCAGGGCCTTCCAGACTGGGGCCTGTGCACGGCTGGACTCAGGGGGGACAGGGACAAGCCCTGTGTCTCCCCCGCCAAGGACGAGCCTGGGCTTGCACTGGTCCTCCCACCAGCTGGCCTCTACTTCTTGCTCTGCGGAAACTCTGGCCACACCAGCCTCCCCAGGTCCTCCACCCTGCCCAGGTGTCCCTCCGCCCTGCCATGTCCTCCCTCTCCTGTCAGAGTTCCTTCTGCCCATCACAGGTCCATGGTGTGGGGGGCGAGCCCAGCGCCCAGTATGGAGCAGGATCCCAGCTCAGCAATGGTTGACAGTGCCCTTTTACTTGGCCTGTCGCCGACAGGGGTGGGGTGAGTGGGGGGGGGCTTGTGACCATGGCTCAGGGGTCAAATCTTTATGACATTCATAGCCACTTCTGCTCTGGGGTAACGGGTAAATTCAGCCCCGGTTCCTCAAAGATCTGCCATTGTTTGTCAATCCCAATACCAAGTGTGAACATCATATTTCACTGACCAAGGAAAACACTACTTCCCCATTTTACAGATGAGCACCCAGAGAGGTGTTTCACAGAGAGGCACAGGGTCTGGAAAGCCTGGACTCTGGAAGACGAGACCCTAGTTCAGCTCTCCACCCCAGCTCATCTCCAAATCTCAACCACCCTCACCAGGACACGAAGAAAGGATCTATCTACCTCCCAGGGCTGCTGGGAGTGAACGAAGGAGTCCCGTCACTCAAGAGCCTTCTCTGTGCCTCACCTCCCGTTCTCACAGCATGTCTCGCCATTGCTCAGACAAGCAAACTGAGGTTTGGAGACTTCCCCAGGGTCCCACACAAGCAAGTGGTAGAGCTGGGATCTGTGCCCAGGTGACTGTCCACAAGCTCTTGCCTTGGCAGTCTTCTGGGCGGACTTCCCTGGGCTTGGAGTGTTCCCACGGGTCCTGGGTCCCAGCTTTTGGGTAGCTGGGTGTTTCCCAGCAGCTGATCCCACAGCATGAAGCTGCTCCCAATGTCGACTGGGACCAGGAAGGAGGGGATTTCATAGACAGGGCCTTAAGTTTCCAGAGCCACCCCACAGATGGCCTATCCTGAAAATGGGGGATGTTGAGAGGGACTGGGGCTCAGATCTCCCCTTTCAGGGCTCCTCCCCAAATCCCGGCACAGCCCTTGAGGGGTGAAGGGAGGTGATGTTTGGCCTTGTGAAATCCTCTCCCACAGGGGAACGGACACCAAGGAGAAGCCAGGAGCAGATGCCAGTCCTCTGCCCCAGCGCGCTGGGTGACTGGGAGCAGATTCCTGCCCTCTCTGAGCCTGGCACTGATGGAAGCCAGTGGGCCCTGGGGGCACGTGGGGTTGGACTTCGGAAGCCATGCTCTCCCCATCGCCCAGCCCTGACAGAGCCGTCTGTGCCCGTGGGACCATCACTGGCTGCACCTCTTCCAGCCCTGCTCTGACCCTCGAGGAGCCACAGTGGGGCTGGGAGCCCTTAGTACCCACTCTAGAGGTGGGGAAGCTGCCAGTGGGTCAGGTGGGGAGACGTGCTGGACCCCACTCACCGTGCCGGTGGGCGGAGGGTCTGCCTGTCCCGTCTCTGTCCGTCCAGGGCCAAGAGTGGAGTGAGTGGATCTTAGCTGGCTGCCTCTGGAGCGAGCCACACCCAGCGAGAGGGAGGCCGGCCTCCCCCCTTCAGGTTTTCCACCCCTGGGAGGGTTTCCTGTTATTGTTGTGCAGTGTGGGCTGGGCTACTGCAGATAGGCAGACCCCACGGTGGGTGGCCACCTCGCCCTGCCCTCCAGGGACTTTTACCTCAGATCCCGATTCTGGGCTTCAGGGCCTGGGCTTCGAGGCCAGCACCTGCCGGTGATCTGGCTGTGGGGGCCCTGGGTCTGCATCAGGGGATTTAACCCCTCTTGGGACCCCCCAAACAGGTGTCTTACCCCCTTTTACAGCCCAGGAACCAGAGGCCCAGCGGGGCTAAGAGGCTTGTCCACCAGCTGGCCTGTAGCAGAGTCAGAGACCCAGCTGGGTTTTAGCTGTGGACCCTGCGACGTCCGTGCTGGGTGGTGGGGGGTTTCAGAGGTCTCTAGTGGGGCTGGTGGGAGGTGAGGGCAGGCAGCAGCTCTTGGCTGGAGGGCCATTGGCTTCTCCCAGGCAGGGTGGACATGAATTCAACTCTAAGGTGCTAGCCTGGATCTGTGTCAGCTGTTTGGGTTTAGAGATACTGAGTGAAGTCAAGTGTGCTGGGTCTGCTTCTGATGCAGCTGTGGGCTGATCATGTTCCCCTAAGGCCTCAGTTCAGTCATCTGTAAAATGGGAATACTCATAGCCTTGAGTGAAATAAAAGTCACGTAAAGGCTTGGAGGACAGGGGAGCAGAAGCTGGACCTGAGCTCCTCAGAACCAAGAAGCTGGGGGCAAGAGAGAGGGGCTGAGATTTGGGAACTCATGAGGACCTCCTAAAAACTACAGAGGCCTGGGCACTGCTGCAGGCTGATTGATGTGGAATCTCCGGGCAGGCGCCAGGAATCTGTCCTTTGAAGAGCTGCCCTGGTTTTCCATGGGTGAGTGAGTGGCTGGGAAGTCCCGACCTTGTTCCACAATTCAGCCAGGACAACCGAGACTCCAAGAGGGAGGGCCTTGCTCAGGGACACCCAGGAAGTTGGGGAATGAGATAGGGAAGAGCAGGAAGACAATTTGAGAGGAAGGGGAGGCAAAGATTGCTCTATTTTGGGTAGGAGTTTGAGGTGCCCACAAGACAGCCAGGGCTGGTAAATGGAGGTGGAGTGAGGTCTGGCCCCGAGATGAGGTTTGCAAGCCGTGAGCTTACTGGTGGTGCTGAGGGAGCTGTGGAAGTAGATAGATGAGTTTACTGGGAGAGAGTCCTGGGCCCTTTCATACTCGGCTCAGTAGAACAGGGTCCAGTAGGCGTGGGGCCATGGGAGCCAGGCGATGACAGCGGGGTAGTCACTGCGTCACCTGGGTAAGCAGATGGCTGTCACGTCCCCATTGAATTTGGAAAATGAGGCCATCAACTTGGAGCAGAGCAGGCTAACCAGAAGGGGATGGACAAGACCAATGAGAGAGGGCTCAAGGAGGGTTGAGGAAGTTGGATGAGTATGACTGCAGGCCCCTGCCAGTCTGGCCATGCCTGGGAGCAGAAGTACGGGAAGATCGTTTCACACCGAGGTGGCAGACTTGTGTCCTGAGGGAGTGTCCAGCACACAGGCAAGACAGGCAGTGCTAGAGCGAGCGAGTGAGCCGGTGACCTGCTGTGAGACTGGGTCTGAGTGCGACCTGCACCAACACTCACAGTCAGCGGGCTGAACAAACAACAGCTCAGCGTGTCCCTCTCTGCAGGGTCCCTCTGCTTTCTGCCTGGAGCGCTGTGTCCTCCCCATGCCCTGGCTGTGTTCCCCTCATGCTTACCGGTGCCAGCTGCCTGCCCTGTGGTCCACGGGCCCGTGGGACCTGAGGGCGTGGGGATCACTTTCTGCAGGGTCTCAGACTTGGTGCTGGTGGAAGACAGGACTGAGCCTGTCCTGCTACCGTGTGCCACCTCTCGTTGTGCTCCTATCCATGAGGAAGAATTTTGTCCTAAAAACCGAGTTTCTGTTATCTATAAACAAGTGGATTGTTGGCCGGGAATGTGCCCTGGACCCCAGGGGTAGGACGGAGGTCCTCATAGCAAAGGCAGTTCAGACCCCAGGGGAGGAAGAGCTCAGTGCCCCTTTGGGCCCCAGAAGATCTCATGCCTGGTGTCTGGCACTGCCTGGCCCTTCCCTGCCCCGACCCCTCCCAAGAAGGGCACAGGGGCAGGAAGTGCCAGCTGGAGCAGAGTGAAGGAGGCAGCTGTGGGTCAGCAGGAAACGGGATGGTCTGTGAGGCCAGATTAGCAGCAGCCAGGAGGGAGGGACAATGCGGCTTCGGGGGAGGGCTGTAAGAGCGAGGCAGGGGACTCCTGCCCACCTCTTGTAGAGAGAGGGAGGCTGACCTGGGAGGGGTCCTGTGTACTCAGCTATGGGCTTGGGGGCTGGTGGACCCAGGGCTAGACCCTGATGTGGCCGGTCTCTACCTGTGTGACCTCTAAGCCTCTTCCCTTACCTGTGAAAGTCTTCAGTTCAGACTTTTCAGGGCTGTCCCGGATCAAAAGGACAGTGGAAACCAATGACGGTAACACGTCTTAGTGAATGCATCTCTCGAAGTGTGATCTCTCCAGCATCTGCCTCAGAATCACTCGGGTGGGTAGAGGAGCCAGAAATGAAGATTTCTGGGCCCCACCCTAGGCTGATGGCAGATGGCAGACAATGGGACACCGAGACCTACATGTTGGCAGCCCACCAGGCAAAGTGTCTGTGCTCACATTGGAGAACCACAGTCTCCCTGGTGCTGGTGGTGCGCTGGGCTCTCTCTGGGGCTTCTCATTTGACCCTCAGGACAACCTCAGTGCTATTGTCAGCCTGTTACAGAGATGGGGAAACTGAGGCTTGGAGTCAAGGGCTCCCTCCCTAAGAACTTGGAGCTTTTTAGCAGAATGCCCATTACGAACCAGAGCTCAGTCTCCAGAGGGCAGCACCTTATCTGCCCAGCTTTCCTGCCCCACCACAGCTGTGTGGATAGCATAGTGTCAGATCATAGTAGCTGCTCATGAAACAAAATTCTCTGGAATTCTGTACTGGACAGGAAGGCAGGGGAGTGACGCCCTTCGTTCCGGCAGAAGTGGTCGCTGTTCAGCTGCTGTGCTTCTTTCTTTTCCCCTCTGCTTGCAGAGCCACCCCCACCCCCAGTTGTCTCCACTTCGATCTCACTTCCTCCATGTGCCTGTCAGCCCTGGGCACAGCCCAGGCCTCACCCATCTGCTGCACCCTCTCCTCCTCTCCATGTGTCTCCTTTGCATCCCTGTCCCCACAGCGGGCATAGATGGGTGGACTTGGAGCTGTGCACCCCTAGAACCAGCACCAGTCCACTGGGGCTGCCTGGTGTGGGGGTCTCTTTGCCTCTGCCCCCTGCCTGCCTGGCCCACGCTGGCTGTGGCCAGCGACACTGCGCTTCTTTCCTTCCTCTTTGTGGTGTTTTATCTGGAGTACCCAATACTCATGCTTGTTTTTTAATTTTTAAAATTTCTTATTGGTATATTTGCAATGCATAATAATTAACATTTGTATTGGGGAATTGGTACATGTATATATCCTCTCTTGATCATTTCAATCTCCTTTCCCTTCTCCTCTCCTCTCTTCCTCTGGCCCCCTTTCCCATCTCCACAATCTCCCTCTTGGCTACCATCTCTTCTTTATTTTACTCTATAATTTATTTATATTTTAGGTTTCCCAAATAAGAGAAATCATTCCATATTGAACCTTCTATGCCTGACTTATTTCACTTAATATGATGATCTCACGATTCATCCATTTTCCTACAAATGACTTGAATTTAGCCTTCTTTATGGCTGAATAATACTCCATTGCTTGAGCTGAGTAACCATAACACACAGAAGTGAGGGGTGAAGTTGGAGCCTCCTGGGAACACAGCTGGTATGTACTCCATGGATTCTATCCGTAATTTGCTGAGTATAATTCCTCTTCTTGATCCTTTCTCCCTATAATTGCCCCAGATACCAGAGGTGGCTCTATTTGAGAGCCCTGCTATAAACACTGACCATGCGCCCTCTCTGACCCAGACTCTGTGTCTCACTGCTAATGCTCATAGGGGCCTTAGGGAGGGTATCTTTGTGCCCATTTTGCAGGATTACGTCACAAGCCCAGAGTGGCCCTGCCTACTTCAAACCAGGCTCATGTTCTGCAGAGCGTCGCTGAACACTCCGAGCTGCTCCAGCATCCTGCCTCTGAGCCTTAGTCCTTGCTATTCGTGCCTCTGAGGGTGCTCGTCCTCCCTTCCTCAGCTAGCCCAAGTCTTCTGGCCTTTCCGCGCCCAGCTTAATTACACCGCTCCTCCACCAGTCCCGTGAGGTTATCATTCTTGAAGCATCTTACCTCCTGGAGTTATCTGCCATACTATGCCCATCCACCCCACCTGCACCCCACATGCTCATTTTCAAAGCCTGTTGAGCCCCCCATTTTCTTATGTAATAATTCTGCACAACAGCCCAGAGAGGTGCAAATACTATTCTTATTCCCCCGATGAGGGGTCTGAAACTCAGAGGTGCTGAGTAACTTGCCCAAGGTCACACAGAAGTAGCACAGCCAGAATTACAACCCTCACCTTCCTGTTTGGAGTTTAAAGGTCACTGTATAGCATCATCCTATTCCCAATAACCTGTAACTTCTCATTTATTAAAAAAGAATAAAGATGCCCAGGCTTTGCCTGCTCCTGTGTTGGGAACAGGAGACAGACCTGGTCCCTGTCTTTGGGTGTCCCACTCTCATGGGACAGACAGGTGCCGAGATGAGCATGAGCCATACTGAGTGGGTCCAGGGTGGTCACAGAGGTGAGTGCCCTCTGCTGGGGGTGCTCAGAGGAAGTAGCCTGGGGTCCCCAAGCTGCTCTGAAATACTGGGCAGGAGCTCACTAAGCATGGAGAGAGGGCTCACAGACAGAGGGAATCGCAGAGTTGAAGGCACAGAGGCCTGTGTGGGAAGGAGAGAACGTTCCCTGGGGAGCATCAAGGGTTTGGGAGCCAGAGATAGTTGGAGATGCAGCCAGGGTTGAAGGACTTCTGCCACACTGAGAGCACAGGCAGGAGGCACCTGCAGTCTGAAAACCCTGTAGTGCCCCATGAAGCCCTGGATTTTGGAGAATTGCCCTGCTTGGTCTACTGAGTCCTCATGCAGTGTCTCAGTTGCTATTGTTGTTGCTGAGACAAAATACCCAACACTCGTAAATTAAGGGTGGAGTGGTTTGTTTGGCTTACTGTTCATAGAGGTTTCAGTCCATAATTGTATGGCTCCAAGGCAGAGTAGCACATGGCAGAGAGGCATCATAGAGGAGAACCAGTATATGATGGGCAGAATGTAGCAAAGCAACAAGGAACCTTAACAGCGTCTTTCTACCCCTTTTATTTTATCCAGGCTACTTAGGGCAGGTAGCACTCACACCTTTAATTCTAGTGCTCTCTAGCCTAGCATTGTACCATGAATCCAGTGTCACACACTGTAGATCCAGCCACCTCTGAAAACGCCCCACCTATGACCACATGAGGCTTTTGGGGGGAACATTTAAACATAAGGCATAATATTCTGCCCTTGGCCTCCCAAAGATTCATGCACATCCCTTTCATCCCTTTATGTAAAAAAGCATTTAGTCCATCTCCAAGAATTCCCAGAGTCCTAACAGTTTAAGAACTGGTGAAAAGTCCAAGTTCAAAGTCTCCCCTGAGATTTAAGGTAAATCCTTCGCTGCAAGCCCCTGTACAAATGAAAAGAAAGTTAAACACTTCCAATGTTCAGTGGCACAAGATAGACAATACCATTCCAAAAGTTACTAACAGGGGGATAGCAAGGAATGGGAACAAAGCAAGTCCAAAATCCAGCAGGGCAAACATTAAATCCCTCTTTCAGCATCCCTGGCAATCTGTGGCAAGTTGTGAACTCCCAGGGGCTTGGGTAGCTCTGCTGCCTATGACACTTCTGGTGGTTGTACCTCCCATAGATTTTTTCTAGGGCAGGCTCTGCTCCCTCCTTTCAGTTTTCCTCAGATGATACTTATTCCTGGCTCCTCCAAACTTCCAGGGTCTCCACTGAATGTTTGGCTTCACACTGCCAGCTTCACATGTTGCCCTCTCAGGGGCACACTCCCTGGCCTCCCAAGCCTTCTGCTAAAATCTGGGTGGAAGCCTTCTAACCCCACAACTCTTACATTCTGCATGCACCTAAAAAATTTATGCAGCACTGCATGGATGATACCAAGGTCTGCTGCCAGCTGGAGCGGTAGCCAGGCTTCCTTCTCTCTTGGCTGCAGGGGTCCAGTGCTTACGAACCAAATCCTGAGGAACAACTTCCCTAGGATACCACCATTCTGAACATGGTGTTCTGGGGCACTCTTCTCAAAGTCAAATCTTTCACTTTCACAATTTCGAGGCTGCAAAGGGTGGAGTCCTGCTGCTTCTTGTGATGCCCTCAGGCCATCTTTTCTATTTTTCTGTCCCTTCTCAGCAATCAAGATCTCCTCTTCTCTATCCACAGTTTTACTGGGAGCTTTCTTTCTGGCCAAACTCACAACACATTAAATCATCCTGCTGGGCTCTTTGCTTTTGATTCTCAACATAAATCTGGCTAAAAGCCCCCAACAGTAGCCATGTTACTGCCCCAACGTTAGACTCCCTTGAAATTTCTTCTTCCAGATTAATTAGTCTGCTGCCCTTAATCTCAGTCTCAGGCAAAGTCTCTGGACAAGACCAAAATGCAGACAAAATTTCTGCCCAGGTATAACACACATTGTCTGGAGCCCAATAACCAATGTAGTCCTTCCCAGCAGAAACTTTCTGAGCTTGTTCTTTATCAGTAGGGTTTCTACCAGCATTCTGGTCTTCTGAGCTCTGACAAGAATCTCCCATCAAGTACCACCTAAGGTGTTGCAGCTCTACTTTTTCAGCCAGCATCTTACAACCTTTCCAAACTCTTCCCACAAGCCATTTCCAAAGGCTCCTGAACCACAAGGTTAGGTATAGTCTCAGTAATGACCCCACCTCTCTGGTACCGAATTCTGTCTTAGTTACTTCTCTCACTGCTGAGACAAAATACTGTACACCTGCAAGTTAAAAGAGGAGAGGTTTATTTGGCTTACAGTTAGGAGAAGTTTCAGTTCAGTTGGATGGCTTCAAGGCACATGTCAAAGGGGCATCACAGAGGAGAACCAGTATATGGTGGGCAAAATGTAGAAAAAGCAACAAGGGACCTTAACAGTGTCTTTCTGCCCCTTTTATCATATCCAGACTACTTAGGGCAGGTGGCACTCACAACCTTAATCCCAGTGACCTTGAGCCTAGCATTGCACCATGAATCAGTTTCAGTGTCACACACTCTAGATCCATCCACCTCTGAAAAAGCCCCACCTATGACTACATAAGGCTTTGGGGGGACATCTAGACACAACCATAACATGCAGCCACCTGCCCTATGTGGGCAGTGGGAAGGCCAGGCAGGGAGGCACAGGTTGGCAGCCCAGATTAGAAATGTGGATACCGCCACTGAGCTGGAGGGGGCCAAGGAGCTCATGGCAACAGCAACTCTCCTCAGCCAGGAAGGGGCCAGCATCAGGGACTGAATTCCAGACAATGAGAACAATGCCTGTCCCAAGGCACTGGGGTGGGGGTGGGGGGGGCACAAAGAGCACTTTCCCAGCTGTCTGCACTTTTCCCTCCCTGGGAAATTGTGCTGAGGGAAGTGGGACTCTGAGGTCTGCAGAACCCAGAGATATTTGATGTGGTGCTCTCTGGGTACCTGCAGGGCACACATTGCACTCTTCTGCTTACAGTTTAGCTGATCTTGGACCAGCTATAGCTTTTGGTGCCTGTTTCCCCTTTTGTAAAGTGCAGATGTTGTGGTCCTTCCTTGTGCTGAAGGTTCATGTCAAGTACGTAGAATGGTCTCTGGTATATAGCGGGTGCTCAGAAAATGTTTGCCATGCCAGTGGCATGGCAGAGAGGTTAAAGTGGGGGTGCCTGCAAATGTGAGGACACGTGTTCACATGTGAGTGCATGAACATATGCATGGTGTTTGGCAACTGTGTGGTGACATGCAAGTGTGCAAGAACACACATGAAGTGTCCATGTAGATGTGGCGGTGTGTGTGGTATTGGTGATGCATCTGTGGTTTGAGGAGTGCAACCCAGGAAGGGCCTGGCCTAGGGCAGCTCTTTGCCCCTCTATGGTCATATGTCCTTGTCGCCCCACTGAAAAAGCCTCCCCCACCCTCATCTCCTGCAGAGGCCCAGAGAGGGTAAGGCCTTGCTCAGAGTGGTCCAGCCAGCAAGCAAGGACCTGCATCCCTGACTGGAGGGCAGTCTAGAGTCTGGCAGGGACTTTGCTCCGCGGAAGCCCAAACTTCCTGTCTCCAGGCCCCACGTGTCCTGGAGAACAATGGGTGGAGGCTTGGCCATCTGGGTGGCAGGAAGGTGGGTCAACGGCTGGTCTGTCTTGATGGGGCAAACAGATGAAGCTCTGGCACTGGGCTCAGTACTGGGGCTGCAGGCCCAGGACTTCTGCTTCCTGCCAGTGCTGTCCCTTTTCCAGGCCCGCACGTGCTGTTCCCTGTGGTGTGAGGTGGTTCTGGGGAACAAAGTCCAGCTAGGGGAGGGGAGTCTGAGCTGGTCTGGGGGAGGGGAGGAGATTAGGTGGAATCAGTCCTTCAGCGGGTAGAGATCTTGGGGACCTCCTTTTAGGCCACTGAGACCGTGAGGGATTTCTCCGAGGAGTCAGAAGAAATCCTCCCAGCCCCTAAACTGGGGTATTCACAGGGCGTGGCTGAGCCTGGTAACTCTTAGTTTGTACATAGTTATGACACTCATATTTCTCCAGGGCTAGGAGCAAGAGACTGGGATCAGGAGCCCTGGTTCTGATCTCAGGCTCCCCCACTGGCTGCTGGTCAGTGTCTTTGCCTGTTTTCTTCTTTGTGAAATGACTGTGACTTGCCATATTCTACGGAACTCACATGTAGCCAGAGAGTGTTCCATAACACATCTCCGAGTACTCTGTGAACTCTTCCCTGGGCCTCTCCCCCCTCCAACTGCTATCAAGCCCACAAGAGACCCCCAGAGACATAGGAAAAGGGGCAATATTTGAGGCAGGGAGGGGAGCCCTGGGGGTCCCAGCTTGAGCAGAGCCCAAGCTGCAGGAAAGGGCAGCCCAGGGCTGTGGCCACCTATGGGATCCTAGGCCACTTTGGAGGCAGCTGGGCCAGATGGCAAGGAAGTTGAGGGTCTCTGGTCTGTGCAGATGACTCCTAAAGGTGGTGGCTGTCTCTGCACCCTCCCAACCCTGCATCTGAGAATCTGGCTGCTCCT